TCAATGATTATCCTAATTATATTTTAGATTTTTTATATTTAAAATGAGATGTTTATCCTGTATTTTATTATGTTTATCTGCAGTTAGTTACACGAGTTACAGATATGAAGTTTTAATAAGTTGTATTTACGCACAATCTACTTGCAATCTTGAATTTTAAGTAATATGCATTAATAAATAGTATTTTACGCATAAAAAGTGATTTTTAAGAGTTTTTATCAAATACTTTATAATATAATATAGTATAGATTATTTGTTTATCTTGAAAATGAATCAATTCCAATTTTAAAAAAATGTAAAATAAGAATATTTTACAAACTAATACATTTTGTATTCAGTAATAATTTATACACATTGTCCACCATGATATTTTAATGACTTGTATTTTTTTTCTTCATTTGTTGTCCAACAATACGTTTTTGCCTTTGACGTCGATTTCTGCTTAGATGCAGCCTGAATCTGCAGAAACTCAAAACTTCAAAGTTGTAGTTCCATCTGTTGGCTTTCTAGAACAATTTGAATCATCTTAGACGTAGCTTGATTGAATCACTTTATAAGTAAATCCTATTTTTTTTAATACTATACACAATGGAAAAAATTAAATTTAGAAATGAAATTATATCAATAATTAGTTAAAATGAAGTTAACCCTAAAATAAAATTTGAATTTAGAAATGAAACTATATCAGTAATTTGAATTTAAACTTAAAAGTAAATCCCGTTTTTTTAATCAATTACCACACGAATTAATTAACTCAAAAATAAAATCAATTGCATCATAAATTAATGGGATTGGTTGAATAAGATGGCATGTTTCAATCAAATGAGTCTAATTGAACCGCTAATGTAAGTTGTGTCTAGATACGCGTTTAGACAGAAAAACACTAAAAACGGCTCACCAAAAAATGACATGTATCACTGCAATTACTTATTTATTGTAAATATAGATTATGAATACTTCTTTATTTCTACCCAAAATATAAAGCAACTGATTTTGACCTTGTCGTTAATTTCCTTATGCAAATAGTCCCCTGACATAACTCTATTAATTTTTTTTCCGATAAATAAAGGTCATTTTGATTCTTTTATTAATTAATTAAAACCATTTTATATCTCCAATTAGGTGGTACCACGTGTCCATCCATCCCTCCCAATATTCATCAAAAATTTGTCTCCTTATTTCACTTAAACATTTAGCACCATCTTCGACCACCAACATCTCTGACCTCATACCCCTTCTTCGGCCACCAACATCACCGACCTCGTATCTCTTCTTCGGCTACCACTATCTCGAACTCCTTGAACATACACGCATCTAAAATAAAGAAATATCAAAAATTTGTTGCAGATCTAAAACATACATAGATCGTAAGATCTGTTTCTAAACATTAATCCATCAAAATCAAACCAACCATCAAGAATGTACAATGTGTATTCAAAACAATTGTCGTACAAAACTTATTTAAATCAAATAATCCTAAATCTAAATCAAAAACCTAATTCTAAATCTGTAATATTGAACGAGAGAAAGGAACCCATAAAAAGTAATATCAATGAAGGCATTCCATTCTCAAGAAAAAGAAGCGTCACTTTCTATTCTTCATTTGTAAAGGTTCTTCAGAAGTCCAATATTTAAAAGTCAATTTCAGAAGACACAATCACGGAAAGTATTTTACGTGTGAGTTATCAACTAAAGTAATTAGTAATAAGAAGAAGGAGACGGTGCAAAGGTTTGTTAAGACAAAAACAAATGATATGACAAAAAGATACTATAACACTACCGAACAGTCCTATAGTACCACAGAATGGTGATAGAGTTCATACATGCCTACTGCTATCGACACAACTTCATTTATCTTAGACGTCGTAAATCCTAGCATGACACAACATTACCTTTCTATATTACATATGTATAGCACTTGTGAGGTGCTATAGCTCTGTAGCATTCTCATATGAACTCAACGGAAAGAGGTGATCCTAAATCCAAAACACATCAGAAGGTACCAAACTGAAAACCAATGTATTTTTAGGTCAAAACTGTCTGTTCAAATCAACATATAGAAGTTGGCTAACGAAATTGTTGCATATTCATGTCTTTAATGTTTTCTTGCATCTCAACATGCAGCTTTATTTGTGACACTTTGTTTCATTTGAGTTTGAACGCCACTCGGATGAATAAAAGAATGATTTCCGACTTGTACAAATACAAATTTGTCATCATAAATCGTTTTGCTAAAAAATCCGTTATAGATTTTTGTTCCTTTCCCTTTTTTGGTGTGATGGCATGTTCACAATAGTAGAGTTGTTTTCTCAATGAGTATATATGTGGTTAATTATGTGAAAAGAGTTGCATGCAAGACCCTGCACTTGAAAGCATTTGCAAAGAGGCCTCTTGTGGTATATATGAATTCAGATATAGGTAAACATGTTGAAAAACATTCTAGATGTAGGTTATAAGAAGGGAAAAAAGGTTGAGAAAGGTGCAAATCATTGGTTAATCCAAAAATAAAATCTATGCAACCACGTTTGTTACCTACCTTTTCACCAACTATTCACACATGAAGATGCATATGTGAATTCACGGTTTTAGTACTAGATTCACATATGAAGATTTTATCTGCACTTCTCATTTGAAACTTCCCTTACCATTCCATTATATTCAACAAGGCCAATTAACCGTAGCTGACTTGCGATTAGCACAAGCACCCACACCAATAACATCATGGTTAACAACCGATATATATGAGAAAGAAAATCAGGCTTTGAAAGAGTCAATCCAAGCGAGTTCTTTTGTATGTATCGAGCTCGTTCCATATCCAAACTCCAGTTTCATCCAAGTCTCTTTAACCAAACTAGCCGCAACATTGGGGTTTAAGCGTGAACGGATTTCATGGAATATTTTGATTTAGTTATGTTGTAAGATTAAACTCATAATTTCGAGTATTTTGTTGGTATGTTGGGCTTTTATCCACTCTCAATTTTCTTTTGACAGCTGTAATATATAGAGCTACACTTTTTTCTTCATTATTAATGTGAAATTTTGGATACCCCACTTTGAAAACCAAAATTGAAACTAGAATGAACAAAACATGAATATGGAACTAGATATGCCCAAAAACAAACATCAAAACCAAATCAAACCAACACATGAATCTGAACTAGATTTGCCTTCATACTTGAAAACCATAATTAAATCTGGAATCGAAAACCAAACCTCGACACCGTCGTGTTTGTCTTTGATCTTGTGGGGTTCGACTTCGTCTCTAAGGGTTTAGGGTGGTGGTGGTGGTAGATGGGGTTTCACCGAAGGGGGTGAGAGAAGAAAAGTGATGGTGGTTGTGGCACCATAGGGTTCGTTGGAGAACGATGTGGAGGGTGGTGGTAGGTGCATTCAAGGAAAAATGGATGTTTATTTGTTTCTATTATTTTAATTTAACACGAAAAAAAGACAAGAAGGTGCTAGACTAATCAAATTGCACACAAGTTAACGGATTGGAAGTTAAGAGAGTTAGGTCAAAGGACCTTTCGTAATAAAAATGAAAACCACGAGGACACTAAGTGTATTTATTTTGAAATAGGGACGACATCCATACTTTTAAGCATAGGGACCAACGGTGTAATTTACATAAACTAAAATAATTCAAGATTATTGGATCATATAAAGACATAATTACATATTTTATGCCTATATGGTTGGGTGATCTTACAAATTATTAGTCCTGTGCACAAGTTAACCGATCTGCCCCTCACATTTTTAACGTGACTTTATTATTTATTAGGTTATACAAGGAGGAAAAAGAAGAAACAATCGAAACCACATGAAGCAAAAGTAACGGTTTTTTGACAAACCACAAGGACTAAAACTGTAGTTTACTGAAAAAAATAAAATACCAGATATGACTGCATGGAACGACTATATATGCATCGTATGTTGTCTACTGTTTATTCTAACTAATCTTTCCCATCGTGCGTTGTGCAGTGACGAATTTGGTTTATTTAAAAATTATGTAACAAAATTAAGATGGAAGTGATTCGTTGATTTACTTATAATAAGATGCAAATGTATTTCGTTTAGAGTGTGGGCTAAAAAAACAAAACTCGTATACTCACGTCATTTCGCTTTATCGTATTTTTATCAATGTGGATTACCAAATTCAGTATCAATAGAATAATTATGAATACTCAAATATCACAATACCATATAATCACCATTTACATTTGTACAACCATACAACTCAATCTCAACTGTCCATTTAATTTGATTAATATGTGATTTCATAAAAGTTTTGATTGTTTTCTAATATAAAGTATTGATCATAATTAATTAACCATAATAATCTTCCATAAATATTTAAATCATAATAAATGGACTCTCATCATTTTCATAAATATTTCAATTGATTGAGTTGCATTGGTTGTACAAATGAATAAGTTGCATTTGAAACGTACTCTCTCTATATATATGATTATAAACAAAATTCATTTTTATTTTTATATAATAACATTTGTTTCACAAAAATAGGATCATCTAAATAAGATAACCTTACGAGTCAAACCTCTTGAGTTGACACAACGAGTCTCATTTTCTTTCTTATACACACATACTTATTCCAATCTTTCAATTTCACACCGATGTGGGATATCTCAAACTCAACCACAATTCACCAATATCTCAATACTCATTATGTCACCTCAATATTTCTTGATTATATATATATATATATATATATATATATATATATATATATGAGCGATCAAATGAAAACCGCCTTCATTTGTGTAAACCATGTAAACCAATCTCATCCATTCATTTTTTTCATCAATGGTCAAAATTAGTTTAGTTTATTTTAGGAAATCAAAAAAAAAATATATTAAATTTTTTATTTTATAATAACGAGAAGGACAAAATGGTAAATCCAACTACATCTTCATCATGCACCTTATTCATCATGAACCATATTATGATAAATTCCTCACTTTATTCATCATGCACCTTGTTTCACTTGTCCAATGAGATTGTTCACGCACCCATATCATCATGCACCCTATTCATCATGCACCTATTTCATGCTGTACCCATTTCATCATTCATCCATTTCATAATCATTTTCACTTATTTCATGCACCAATTTCACCATGTATGAAACCGGTTTCATGATTTTTTTTCCAATTACCGATTTCATGGATTTATTAATCTAATAACTTACGATTTTAATGAATCTTGGCAATAATAAACCGAGACAGAATATAACAAAATCCAATTTTTAATATTACAATTTAATTAAATATTTAAATGTTACCATTTATAAAATTTCTTTTATTATGTTACTTTAATTAAGATTTATTAATAACTTCCATATTTAATAGAAAACAATGCAAATGACCAATATACCCTTAATAATTAAATTTAATTTAAAAAAATGGAATTTTCCTATTGGTTGAAAGTAGTTTACACAGTTTCTAAGAATTGTACGATTTTCATTTAAACGTGCCTTATATATATATATATATATATATATATATATATCTACATACTAGGTTTGGACCCGTGTATTACACGAGTTAATGACAAAAATTAAACGAAACTGATATTTATTTTATAAAGAATTAATAATCGGAGGTAATTTATAAACTTAGACAAAAATACAAGTCCGATTAAATTTTTGATATAAAGATACTCTTACTCGAGAATTAAATGTTACATATACAAAGGACGGCATGTGCTTCGATGATCAGAAAAACTTCTAAATGAAGACAAACAATGTAGATCCAATATGCAGCGCTGCGTAGTACATGCAAAGCCTTTGTATACATCTGTATGAGACAAGCAAAGGGAATCATAGGCTCTGGGTAGTACATGCAGAGATAGAACTCTTACTCAAGACAAGTACAGAGCCTTTATGAAGCTCTGTATGAAGGACGGAGGCAGGGTCAGAATGACCCCGTAGCACCTGTATAACCTCTGTTAAGCTCTGTATGAAGAACATAATCTGGCTTCAAGGACACAAGCGTAAAGAAAATTTCCAGAGATTAAGACAGAAACTATTCAGAGTTACAAGTCTGAAGGCCATATTTAGAGTAAGAGACAGAGCCTCGACGCATTATGTGAAGAGACAGAGCTCTTTCTCAAAACTTAAATGCAGAACCTCTGTGCAGCTCTGCATGAAACACGGAGTCTGGTTTAGATTGATCGCATAGCACGTGCAGAACCTCTGTTAAGCTCTATATGAAGGACGGAATCAGGCTTGACAAACACAAGGGCTAAGAAATCCTCCAGAGTTGTCTTCTAAATTAGACTGGAAAATAACTCTGGAGTTAACTCTGAATAAGAGGAATTCAAAGTTGTCTTCTAAGTCTAAAAAGTATCTACGAGCATAACTCTGAGTCACAAGAATTTTGATTTCTTATAACTCAGAAACGTAACTCTGAAGAGAAGTTTAGAGTTGTATTCTAAGTTTGAGAATAAACTATATAACTAAGTTTGGAACAGAACAATTCAGAGTTATGTTGTAAGTCTGAAAAATAACCAATATCTGATGACTTCATGTTGATGATTTGTATCACTAATATCATTTAAGTGTAATGAGATTAAATTGTTAACCAATGTAATCATGATAAATTTTGAACAGGTAAAGCAGGTGCAAAGTGCACACTTGTTTGAGTTTATTTTGATTTAGGAACGAAGCCCCTAACAGAAGGGATCTGGGGGCAGCGCCCCCGGGTGGCGGGGTCCAAGGGGCGGCAACCCCTGGCTGGGGTCGAGCTGCCAGGTCAGCTTGGAATTTTTTTCCCGGGTAATATTGCTCTGTGAAAAATGCTTCAAAAATGCGAATTTGAAATATTAAACCCGGTTCTGATGACCACTCCAAAGTTAAATTCAGACGTGAATTTTTCCAGAATTATGTTGTAAGTTATGGGGCCGTAAGTGAAATTGTGTTTTAGGCGAAAAAAATCAATAACCGTCGCACAGAAACGTGACACGTGTCCCCAAAATTACTTATTTATTAGTATTATAGATATAGATAAATTGCAACGGTTGTTTTTGTATTTTCTGCCGTGGCATTTGTTTATTAACTTCTGGTTTCATTTCATGATGTTTTGTGAAATTGTCGCGTAGATATTTTGTAAGCATATTTGACATATTACTTTGGTTGGCATGCAGGAGACATGCAGCCGTTCTTTTACGAATGGAACATTTTGATACTTTAATTGCAAAAATGGAAAGTTAAAGGACTATTTCTGTAATTAAGTCAACCTAGCATTAGCAAACATACAGGATTGGGAACCAATGGTATATAAACCATGTTTTTTTGATTTGCCGGCGCCTCCTTTCCTCTGTTCTTCATTCCGCTTCAAATTAGGGCACGCGTTGATTTTTCTGAAGGTAGAGCTGTTCGCCGTTCACCGTCGATATCTTCTTTCAGTTGATTTTCATTATCTCCGATCAAATCGTAGGCATTCTGATATATTTGCTGTTTTTATTCTTCTGTGATTTGTTGTGCAGTTTGTAATATTACTTGCTAATAAGAGAAGAAGAAGTTGAATGATGGCGCTTCGTTTTGAGGTACGGATTTTAATTAATGTATAGTTTGAAATTAACTATCGTAGTGATGTGACGAATTGTATTCGAGTGAGTTAACGCATAATGAATTCGACATTTCTATCAGATATCAATGTAGTTATAGTTTTATTTATTTATGTATTTGAACCCAAAACAATGAAATTCATCAATTTTAATTAATGTTGGCAGTAAATTTGTTTGAAAAATCAAGTACGGAGCATGTAATCTTTTTTGGAATTTCAGTTTAATTTTTCTGTGCAGTATTTGGGCGGACTATTAAGAACATGACTTGTAGTAAAAACACTCACCCCCATAAAATCCTGAAAAAAACAGACAATGTTGAAAAATTCAGTGCTATACCTGCCATTGCTCAATTTGATTCTGTAATAGACCCTAAAACTAAACAAGATCAAATTGGTCTGTTTAGTTTACAGATGAGAGGCTGAACCAAGTTATTGGTTAACAGATGATTCATTCGGTCCAAACGAATCTCTTAACAAGTTGAGCTTGAACATGTTCAGGATTCACGGGCTTGGTTAATGACCTAAGAGTATTAAGACCATGTAGTGCATTGAACCACAGAATGAAATTAGACATTTTGAAGAAAGAAATATCACATTTTATGAAAAAGTGCAAGTTTTCGAGCATGTTGGAACCAAAATGCACCCAACAGAATATATCTGCAAACGTGTGCTTTAATACTACTTGTTGGGATTTTTCTTATGCTGACACTACAACAACACGAACCCAGTATATCCCATCGGATGTAAGGTATGAGGGTGAGATGTACACGAAATTGACCTCTACCATCAGAGACTGTTTTCGACACACAAAGGTTCTTTTAGAAAACAAATGATTATTTGGTTGCTTAAATAGGCAATCCTTGTGTGTCAAACCATAGTAGTACATGTTTGTAGTTGGAAGCTACTAATTCAAAATGGTTAAATGCATGAAATAACAACCTACTTTCATAAAATTTTTTATTATAGCATTCTACTTTTGTTTTTATTTATTACAACAATGTACTTTCAAATTATTTTTTATTAAGACATCGCAATTTAAAAAATCTACCCATTATAGCAATGGGTAACCTGTTACCTTTTAAACCGGTTAACCCATTGACTTTTTTTGTTTGTGTGGCTTTAATGAGGTGACGTGGATGACACATCATTTTGATGATTTAATTAAAATAAAAATAAAAATAAAAACCTATTTCAAATTATTATTAGTGATTTTCATTTTTCATTGCTATGATTTAAAAAACATTTAATTTTTTTTGATTTTTTCTTATTAAGTTGCATGCAAATTAAATATTCTAGAGTAAAATATTTCTTAAATAAATATGCTACATTATTTTCGAGATATATTTTATTTGTAAAAAAAGGAACACTTCTTATTTATGTTGCTAAAAAAATATCTTTTAAAGTTCTCTCTAAAATGTTAACGAAATAAATTATGTTCTACAATTTTTTAATATTGTCATATTAATAAATAATTCAAAAAAATCTAATTAAATTTAATATATTTATACGTCAAGTAAAAGTTTTTGAACAAATATAATATATATTCTTTAAAAGATAATATTTTTTTGGTAAAAAAAGAAACAATTTTTATTTTCTTTTTTCAAAGAACACACATTTAAAAAAAAAATATTAGCGAGATAAGTTGTCTTATACTTGTTTTATTAATATTGGTATATTAATGAATAATTTAGAATTTTTWWWWTWYWTWWWATATWTATTAAATAACATRTAAAATATCTAAATATTAAAATTAAAAGTATATTGTTTAATAAGAACTAGTAGATACTATAATAAAATAATTTTTAAAGTACAATGTTGTAATAAGAAAGTCACATCATTATAGTAACATATGGACACTGGACAGCCTACATGGACAATGAGATGACATGGAAATCTGGTATAATGGGTATATTTAAATCAAAAGGTTACCCAATGTTATAATAGGTAATTTTTTCAAAGTATAATATTTTAATAAAAAATAGTTTGAACGTACATTACTAAAAAACTGAAAGTACAATTTTATAATAAAGAAATTTATGAAATTACATTTTGCCCAACTAAAAAAATTGTACCTTGGCTTCTCCTTCCTAGGTTCTTGGCAGGTTCAACCGTGCACGTGCAGCCCAACTGACACTCCCTCACTTTGTTTGTGAGACGCCACTATTTATGCCTGTGGGAACACAAGGTTAGAAATTTGAGTTTCATTTCATGTGATATTGTTTCCTATAAGATCCTGTAAGCTGTTTATTTCTTTACTGATGGAATGAATCTATGTTTTGATGGCCACAGGGACAATAAAAGGTTTGACAACCAACCAGCTTGAGGACATTGGCTGCCAAATTATACTTGGAAATACATATCATCTGGCACTACGCCCAACTTCTGAGCTAATAGATGAATTAGGAGGGCTTCACAAATTTATGAACTGGCCTAGGGCACTTCTCACTGATTCTGGTGGTTTTCAGATGGTAATTCTTCACGACTTTATGTTTGAAGATAGAGCCTTTTAGAATATGGCAAACCCATTGGTTTGTTCCAACAACACTCGTTATACTTCTCATCGGAATATAATAGTTTGGACTGTTTGAAGAGTTGGTTATCATACTCTCTATCTACATGATGGAATCAAATTTTTTGTCATTTAAAGCTGATAACTTTCTTCTATAACTTTTAGAGTTCATATTCTAGTTTGTTGGACCATTGTCTAAGCAGGAGTATATTAACAGTTTAGCACATGTCACATATCCTCATTCCTCAAGCAATATGTGTCATATCTTATGGTGGTAGAAAATGTTATTGGATTGAGGGAACAATTTACTATTTCAGTATGCATAGGGGAAGTGGACAATACTTAGCATGGGATGCCTAGTTAGAAAGATGAAGGAAAAACCTGTTGATACGTCCTGGTCCGGATCTGTCTGTGAGTTCTTCATTTTGTCCTATGCTATAGGTGTTTGATCTGTGAATTTGGTCATTTAAAATATCTACAGGTCAACTGCATTGTCTTAGTTAGCATTACCTTGTGTAGCACCAAAACTGACACCGGTTTATGTTGATCGTGCTCTTTTTCTCTTAAATAGCCATTTGTAAGGAAGAACCAGTTTATTAGACATGCATATCAATGATAATCAAGTACTCTTTAACATGTTTCTGTAATATATTGGACTATACTAATTTAGCTACAGAAATTGGGCTAACTTAACTGCTTTTCTGGAGTTTCTATCATACTCCACGAGTTGTGGTTGTAGGCTAATTCATCTTGGCAATTAAATTATGTACTGGCATGGGAGAAATCTGAGGAATGCACGGTATCATAGAAAAGCCTTGAGTGTCTAGACAGGCAACAATATGGTATAAAGATGTTAAAAGAGATTAAGAGCATTGGGCATGTGAGGAGAAATTGGAAGCAAGGGGAGGGAAAATATTTCTTACTGTAACAATCTTATATTGGACAATACATACTACTCTCAGTGTTGACCTGCCATTGTAAATGGTAAATCACAGAGTACATTGCGAGAATACAAGTGCGATACTGTTGTGCAACGTGTACTCTTCCTGATGTAATCTTACGATACTATATAGATGTATTAGATAATGTGCTACCAAAATATACATTGGACTAGTTTCTTCTCTATGCTAAAACTTTGTGAAGACACAGCTGTTGTTGTTTGTTGTAAACTTACTGTCTCTCTTCTGCTCTTTTTGGATAATTTATGTGCATGACATGTTTACATACAAGTTCCCAGCCAATACAATATGGCTTTGCATGTTTTGGATGGTTGGAGGTTAGATACGCTATGTAACTATATTTGAAATGCTTTCAGGTCTCATTGTTGCATTTAGCTGATATCACTGAAAAAGGTGTCACTTTTCAGGTTGTCTCTCTCTCTCTCTCTCTCCCACTCAAACTCTCTCTCTCTCTCTCTCTCTCATACACACGTCCTGAAAAGTCGTTAATACTATTTTTGGTAAGTTGAGGCTGATTGATGCATGTATGCAACTCCATGATATAAGGGGAGCAAAATTCCGTCTGACCAACAATCAATTAATGAGAAATTCCATCATTTATTAACGTCCTCTCCGTTGGCAAAACTTTTGAAATCACATCTTCTTCTAATACTTCCGCCAAAAAATTTGTTAGCCAGATTTGGGTGAATGGAGCTTTTAGCCAAACCGCCTATATGTGTTCATTTCCTAATACTTCTAATTCTTCTTCTGATACTTCTAATTCTTCTTGTTTCGATTTTGAACTTCAAGACAAACCACCTATGCTGTGTTCATATCCTACTTTAATTTGGTTGTCATTCGTAACTAATATTTGATGTTTATTCTGCAGTCGCCAGTTGATGGAAAGCCAATGCTCCTAACACCTGAAGAATCAATCCAGATCCAAGTAAGTAGTTGCTGGTATCTGTTGGGGTCTTCAACACACAAGCTCATAAGTCATAACTATGGGTTTAAGTGTAGTTCATAAAAAACATGAGATTCTTGTGTTTTAGTTCATAGATTTAACACAAATCTCATGAAACTCGATTTCACATAATTTTATGTGTTTTCTTTAGTATGTAGATCAATCACACTTGGTATATACTTAAGTTCCATCCTCTTGTTTACACAGGAAATGACAAATTTTAGCAGCAAGTTAATTGTTTTATTACTGGTTGCTAAATACAGTTGCTTGAAATACCAGCAACTTATAAAGTTCCTCTGTATGGATGATTGGATTGGTCTCCTCGGGAGAATATTTTTGTAGTCCTTTACTTGATGTTAGGGCAGAGGTCCCCGTCATTTGCTGAACACAATCCAACTACCCAATTTGATTTTAGATGCTTTTGTCTCTATATTTTATGCAACTCCTCCATGTTAAGATAAATAATCACACAATAATTATTCCAGAAAACAGAAAAAAGTTCGAACATGGTATTTAAGTAGTTCAAGGATTTGGTTACATCCATTGCCGTTACTAGGATTTTGATATATAATTTTTAGGTTATCACAGACCATTCAGATGACAATTTTCTTTTTAGCCCTTGTTGGAGTCCCACATTGGTTAGACTTCAACCAACTCTCCTCGATATATTGTTGGAACCTCCCTTCTCTCCTAAAGGGCTCTTTTGGAGAATAATCTGATGGGGTTCCACATATTCTCACATTATCAAAGAATGTACCAAGACAAATTTCATGAATTACAAAATTAAATTCTAGCAATGCCATGAATGTGGGCATATTTTGCCAAACCATGTAAAATATCCTTCAGCATTGATGTCTGTGTGTGTTGGTGATGATAGATCTTAATGCTGCTGTTTGTCAATCATTCATTGAGGGATCTGAAAATAAATTTTGTTGACACTGCATGTGGAAATTGAAATGTGGTTGGAGCTTGAATATATAATTTTGGATACATTGTCAACAGTTTCATTTTGACTTGACCTTCATATTTATTGTGGATTTTACATACATCTACTCTTGTAGAACAGAATTGGAGCAGACATTATTATGGCTCTTGATGATGTAGTGAAAACCACCATTACAGGTCCTCGAATTGAAGAAGCTATGTATCGCACTTTGCGTTGGATAGACAGGTGCATAGCAGGTAGAGGTTTCGAAAGCTACGATATTTTCATTTGCAGCAGATTAATCAAAATTATTTCATGTGATACCATTTAGTAATTGCATAACTGGTATGTGGATTAGTTATGAACACACTTGAAAAATATAGCAAGTCTTGTGCATAATGTCCTTTTTATAAATATATTATATGTTTGCCTTGTTGGGGTTTTAATGTGTTTCAGAATGAGTGATATGAAGGGAAAAATGGGATCTTTTCCTTGTATTCTTTGTATGAAAAAAATTGAGCACATGCTTCCATCTGTATATCTTCTACTCCTGTCTCACTGCAACATTTTATTGGATATTGTTACGGAGAGTATTTGGCTATTTGACTAGGTAGATTTGCCCTTCTAGTTGACTTCTTTCTGCGGGATACCCTAGTTAGAGCAGTGAAACCTTTGCAGCCTGCAATCCGAACTGAGGACTGGTTTTTGTCACATGTCTAAGATACCCTTCAGACTAAGGAAATCTTGTCGACCAAAATCAACATGATCAATTTTTTTCGTAACGATGATGGATAAATAGGTAATTGTAACTTGAACACAATCCAAGATGGAAACGTTGGAATTTTCTTGACCCCCAAAAATGGAAATAATTACACTTTTCTTGACGATGATGATGGACAAATAGGTGATTTTAACTTAAACACAGTCCAAAATGGGGTTGTTGGAATTTTCTTTGACCCCCTAAAATGGAAATGGTTGTAGACTTGTAGTTTTCGTTGGAAGATGGGAGTGCTTCTTACTTCTGAGTTTTGAATCCTCTTTATTGGTGTGGATATGCAGCTCATAAGAGACCAAAGGAGCAGAATTTATTTGGAATTGTACAAGGTGGTTTAGATCCCGTCTTAAGGTGATCTGTAATTGGATTTCTTAGTGCAGTCAATCTCTATTTATATAATTATCATCCATACTAAACTTTTTCTTATCAGGGATATATGTGTCCAAGGTTTGGTGGAAAGGAATTTGCCTGGGTATGTTTTTTTGCATGTTCGGTTCCTTTCATGTTTTTTTTTTATCATTTATTGGGGAATGTTTCTAAATTGAAATTTCGATTTTATTCTGCAACATAACTCTGAATTTTGACCAAATTGAACTTCATGCTCCAGTGCTAATATAAAGCAGCAGGTTCAGTGACTGGAAATTTAAATACCTCTGTCCCAAAATAAGTGTCCACTTTCAAAAATAAGTAACTGAATTCTCAATTTACCCTTAATTACTGCATAAATATTTAATAGTTGTGAAGAGAGAGAAATGAAATAAGGGTAAAGGTGTCATTTGGTTAACAAAAAAGTGTAATAATTATGCATGCCTAAAACTGTGTGCCATTCCACGTATGGACACTCATTTTGGGACACAGGGAGTAACTGTTTTCACTTGTGCAACAGCTATGCTATTGGTGGTCTTGCGGGCGGTGAAGATAAAGATTCATTTTGGCGTGTTGTTGCACAATGCACAGCTGCACTTCCTGACAGCAAACCCCGATATGTTATGGTATTTCATTGATTTAGTTATCCATCTTTTAGGAGATTTTACCTTTGGGAGGGTTTTTTGGGGGGGGGGGGGTTGATTTTTGTTTTATTCGCCTTGTTCACCTCTCGTGTTTGGTATATCTTAATAATTAGTGCGACTGTTTTGTCAGGGTGTTGGCTATCCACTTGATATTGTAGTTTGCAGTGCTTTGGGTGCTGACATGTATGACTGTGTCTATCCTACTCGTACAGCTCGATTTGGCACTGCTCTTGTGCCTGAGGTATGATATCTAATCGACAAAAAATGTATTGTTCCGCAAAAAAATTGCTCCCTCGGTCTCTAAATAAAAGCAACATCCACATGTGCACATAGTTTAATGAAAAGTGTGACTGTTTGACTCCTGATTTTTTGTGATACCCGTCACACGTGGATAAAAAATAAGATTTGTGAACTCTTTATAAGCCACAAGTTGTAGACTATCTGTAACTTCCACCATGGTTTTAAGTAGAATTAGAAGTTATTAGGCTAGTGCATGGTTTTCAAAATCGTTAGGCGAGGCGGTCCAAAACCGCTTATGAGGCGGTGCCTTTAGGCGTTGAAGCGGATCTGAGGCGTATGCCTCTCCAAACCCCATTTTTTTTTCTTCTCCATTTCTTACTTTTTCCTCTCTCAAGAGAATATTCATCTCAAAGGCCAACCTAAAAAGTAAGTTCTTTTTAGTTTGTATCCATATTTTTAGTTTATGTATAATGCATTATATAAAATTATATTATATGTTCTATATTATATAAAATTATATTTCAGTCAAGTATATATATGTTCTATATCATGTATAACTATTTTCTATATGTATAATGTGTTATGTATGTTTTTTTTGTATATTTTCTGTTTTCTGTATTGTTTTTATTTTCTGTTTTCTATATTATTTTTCTGTTTTTTGTGGATTTGGAAGATGAAAGTGATAGAGATTATGGATACAATTGTGGAGCTATACAACTTGATTATGCTACGGGGAACTATAACTTGTAGATTGATATGTTTTTATACTTATAACTAGTATTTTATGAATCTATGATGCTTAAAGTTTGGTATGGAATTATGTTCTGCTTACTATTAATATTTATGAATTTTATTGGTTTAACGCCTCGAGGCTTGCGCCTTAGACCGCCTCGAGGCTTATGCCTCAGGGTGTGGAAGGAAAATGCCTCGAGTCCCGATTCCGCTTTTTAAAACCTTGGGCTAGTGTATTGTTTTGGGTTTGGGGCATTACAAAAATGATATTAGAGCCGATCCTTGTACCATTAGGATGGTGGGGGCAAAACCTCATTGCACATGATTAGTCTATGAGGATGGGTGTTTATAACATCTTAGGTGAATCCCACATTGCCGATGAACAAGGAGAATGTTGGGTAGGCTTGGGGACGTTAGAAATCTAGGTGGAGTTTATGACAACCCATTCCACCTGAATATAAAATGAGATTTGTGAGCTTCTCATAAACTCCATGTTGTGGACAGTGACTTCCACCATGATTTTAAGTTGAATTATATTGAACTAGTCTATTGTTTTGGGCTTCAGGCATTATATTTGTTAATTTAAGTTCCAGGGAATGATTATTTGACCGATTTCTCCATATCATGTTATACCTGAAAGTCAATTAGTCGATATGGGAGGCTGTGGTAAGGGGAGTACAAGTGGCTAATGCATTTGTACAAGTTAGGTGAAGCAGGGGTTAGTGGGTCAGTTCTGAATTGTAATTTGGAGAGATCTGAGCCTCACGAAGCTGAGGAGACCACTGCAAATTCATTCATACAGTTGCATCACTATTAAACTACTCAATATTAAAATCTTGATTTCAGGGGGTCCTAAAACTTAAACACCAGTCGATGGCTGATGATACCCGACCGATTGACCCAACATGCGAGTGTATGGTATGCTTATGATCATATCTTCGGTTTTCTGATATATACGACAAATGATTGTATTCTCTTAATTTCTTTTGTTGCTTATAATGTAGGTCTGCAAAAACTACACAAGGGCATACCTTCATTGCCTTGTTACAAAAGATGCCATGGGTTCTCAACTTTTGTCTTATCATAATTTATACTACATGATGCAGGTAAAAAGCTCGAATGGTTTATATATTTCTTGTAAGCTACATTTACTCTTTTCTCGAATTTGAGAATCATACCGTTTTAAATTTGCAGCTTAGCAGAAATCTTCATTCGTCAATTATAGAAGGAAGATTCCCGAAGTATGTTTGCCTTCTAACTTTTTATTCAAATTTTCCCTTCAGTATTCCTAAAGTTATACTTCCTCCGACACATGAAAGTTGCAACTGTTGGAGTCGAACATCGCCTAGACTTGGACCATTTATCCCCAGTATATGTTGGAACCTCTATTCTTTCCTCAAGGGCTCTTTTGGAGGGTAATTTGATAGGGTTCCATATATTCTCATATGGTATAAGAGCCAATATCTACCACTCTAGGGATTCGACACTATGGGGCAATTTATACTTGTCTTACCCCCTCTAGACTCTTGGGACAATTTGTGCCCGTCTAACCTCTGTTGGAGGGGGCGCGTTAGAGTCCCACATTGGCTAGATTTGACCATTTCTCCTCAAGGCGAAGGATTGTCTGAGAAAGAGAGTTAAGATGAGAAGCGTAAGAAGGGATCTGGACAATCCTTCCCCTCAATATATGTTGGAATCTCTCTTCTTTTCTCAAGGGCAATTAGAGAGTAATCTAATGGGGTTCCACATATTCTCACATGGTATCACTATTAGTTCCAATGTGTACCACTCTAGGGACTTGACACTATGGAGCAATCTATACCCGTCTAGCCCCCTCTTGACACTCTGAGACAATTTGTGCCTGGAAGGGGGATTCCCACATCGGCTAGACTTGAACCACTTTGGGACATCCCTTCTCTCCTCAAGAGCTCTTTTGGAGACTAATCAAATGGGGTTCAACATATTCCCAAAGCAACAACTTTCATTTTGAGAGACTGCATGAAATTTGCAGCATTTCCATTTGCCCATCGTTTCTGTTACAATAAAGTGACACGATTATCTTATTCTGTCATTGTTGAAGGGTATCTTAAGCATTTGATATATAGTCAAACATTTTTTTAAAACTATGTGCACAATCAAGCACTGCAATTTTCATGGGGGAGGTAGTGTTCTTTTCTAATTTTAAAAAACAAGCTCTTATGTGCCACAAATGTTTTCACCTGCAGATTTGTATGCGACTTCTTGAGGAAAATGGTATGTTTGCTTTTGGCTCGAGTTCTCTATGCATATTTAGTTCATAATATTACCAAGGTGAATCGCAGGGAATGCTTCTTTGATCCCCTAAAGACCTACTTTAGGTTTTTTGAGAATACTACATCTTTGGTCGATATGTTTTGGGGAAATTATTGGTGGTCGTCCATAAAGTTCGTTTATTACATTTTTTGGTCATCATGGTTTCAAGATTCTTGAGGATTCGGTCCATGTGTTAGACATTGTTAGCTTTTGTCCGATAGGTGAAGACTCATGTATGCATGTAGTAACTACTTCCGTTTGTAACTCAGTGCGAGTGTCGATCTGTTTATTTGTTTCTTTTCAAGTGTGACTCATGCATGCATGTAGTAACATCTTCTGAGGTCATTACTCATTACTTCTCTTCTAACTCACATTGAGATGACTTTTTTAAGTTGATTATTTTTTTGACATCTGCATGTTGGAAAATTTTGATGATTTATCGAGCAAGCAATGAGGCGTTATTGTGTTTTTTGAGTACTACATGCATGCGGAAACATGCAACTTCTTGATGCTTGCTCGATGGATCGACAAAATTTCTCAGTATATAGATCTTGAAAAAATAAGCAATTTAAACAAACCCATCTTGATTTGAGTTACAATTGAGAAGTTATGACCTCACAAAGATCTTGCTACCTATATACATAAGTCATACCTGAAGAAACACAAGAACTCACTGATGCTTGCTCCATAAATCACTAAGGGGCCGTTTTCCCAATTGCTTACCCGGTAAGTGCTTATCGATAGGAGTCAAACTATGATTTATTTTAATGCGTAAGATTGTAGTATATCAAAGCATATCGAATGCAACAATTTAGTGGGTAAGCGCTTACCTGGGTAAGAGTCGTCATCCTCACTTACCGGGTAAGACTCTTCATCATTCTCATCGCTCTTATCCGGTAAGATTCTTGACCCTTTTCATGTTCATCCGATGACGAAATTTATCCGATAAGTACTTACCAAGTAAGTGTTTAGTAAACGGCCCCTAAATTTTGTCAAAATGTAGATATTGAAAAAATAAGCAAATTAAACAAAATTATCTTGATCCGAGTTACGAGTGAAAAGTTACTACCCTATGAAGATGTTACTACATGCATATACGAGTCTTCACTTAACAGAGAAAAGTTAATGATGTCTGACGAAGGACCAGATTCGTAAGGAAAATGGAATCACAATGCCGAAAATATAATCAACAGACTGTGGGGACGATATCCAGTAATTTCACCATAATATGAGGTCCAGAAAATGTAGTTTACTCTAAAAAAAATTATATTTAAACAAACACTAGAAACCTAAAGTTTGAAAAACCAACCATCAAAACTTTACCCTTGAAGTTTTAATTATGGCAAATTATCTTCGTCTTAAAAGGTTCGACATTATTCATTTAGAAAGATGATCAAACGAAAAGGCAATCAACTTAAAAAAAGTGCGAGAAGGACCAAAACACATGTGATTCTAGAGTAAAATCACATGTGATACAACATGTCCAAAAGGACAATGCACGATTGATCAACGAGACCAAGGTCAATTTCAATTGCTGGTCAACATGGCGTGTGTGCAATCACATGCGATTTGACCCTTCTTGCTCTTTTTGTTCGAACCTGCCTTTGTTCGTTTATGCCATTTAACAGTTTCATTTTGTGGGTTCTTTTAGAAATGATTGAGTCTCATTTACTTAGATTTAAGAATGGCTTATTAGCTTTATCGTCATAAATATATTGTTTTCAAGAGAACGCTATTTCAATGATTTGCATTTTCATAGTTTCCTAATGGCGATGTTCCTGAATGGGTATACAATGCAATGGAGGTTGCCGGTATAGACATCTCCTCGTGCTCAACTCCACTCGATTCAAAGAATAACATACATACGTGAAGCGGATAAATTAGGAATGGTGCATAGGGACACGTTGACCGTTTAACTAAAAGTCAAAGGATAATTCGTTGGATTAACAAAAGGTGGAATGAACTTCATACTTATAGGAAAAGTCGATGCCTTTTTCTTTGGAGGCATGTGGTCATTCTTATTGGGAAACCTTGAGACGATAGGTTCATAATATTATTACGTATAAGTATGTAGCATAAATTTTGTAACTTAATATGCTGCTGCTGCTTAATTTCAGTACATAATATCTGAAACCTTACTCATTCTTAAATGATCTTGACTTCGTAGATCACGTACAATGGTTGTACTTGACTTGATACGACCCGCTTTGTCGTGCTCTTACTATAAACTTCTAACCTGACCAAAGGGCCTTTAGCCTAGCGGTATTGTATCTCTTGGCCTTCTAGGAGGTCAGGGTTCAAATCTTACCATAGGTGAGGAGGGTGTGTGAGTTTATTTGTTGCATTTGTCGTATATAAATATTATATACTTCAAAAAAAAAAAAAAAAAAAAAAACTTCTAACCTAACATGACCCACTTTGTTGTGTTTTTACTAGTAAACTTTTAACAACCTAGCAGTTGTCAGTCTTGCTCTTGTTGAGAGGATTGTCGACCAAGTCCATTTCAGTATTTAGCAATACTAGTATACTATGTTTTGACACAATCATGAGGACGATGATTGGTATCGAGTTCCCACTAGTTCAGATCCACTCTGCTCTCCATCGACACACAACACAAACGATAATTGCAGCAACCATGAATTCATCGCGACATTCACCATACATTGTTTGATGATGAAGATTATCAAACAAACTTATACGACTATCAAATCTCTATTTACAGTGAGATATAGTGACAATTGCCATGACTAAGACATAACAATGATTTTTGAACTTTCTACTGAAGATGCATAAATACGAAGGTCGGTACTGAAAAGGCCGTTCAAGCCCGAAAAAGTCTAGTCTTAGTAGCCCAATGGGGCCCTTTTCAACTCCGAAGTTCAAACATCCCGTAACTTTTATTTTTATTTGTCAATAAAAGCAGTCTTGGAAGGTCCGTATACCTCTTTACTTTGTACAATAATGTTTGTCATTATCATAACCCTTTTTATTATTATAATGTATCAAACGGTAATAATAATATATTCGATAGATTTGGGTCCCCAACTAATGAAATGAATACAATAAGATAATATTGGATTTTGTGGTTATCATTGACTTGTGACATTTATCCAACCACCTTAAGATTTGATTCGGGTGTTGGTTGAGGCTTCATTCACATTTGGTAGGGTTGTTTATTCACATTATATATATCTATACTATATTATAAAGTATTTAATAAAAAAATTTTAAAACCAATTTTTATGCATGAAGTACTGTTTATTGATACATATTAATTAAAATTCAAAATTACAAGTAAATTGTATGAAAGTACAACTTACTAAAGCTCTCTGCTTGAATTTGTGTAACTAACTGCAGATAAACATAATCAAATACATGATAAACATCTCATTTTAAATATAAAAAATCTAAAGTATAATTAAGATAATCATTGAGTTCTAACAGAATACTTAATTATTATTTTTGTAAAGAATTATATTAATAAACTTAAATTAAATTACTTTAAATTAAATTATAATAAAAATTATGAATTAAAGAAATTATATAAAACAAAAACTTTTAAATAGTTAGTTTAATACCAAT